TTAACTTTAATTTGTGTCGCGCAGGGCACGCTCGCGCTTCCCCTCCAGCCGCTCACATGGGCGATGGCCTTTGGCGCCTGTCTGGGCGGCAATGGCACCCTCATCGGTGGTAGGCTTCCCAACATACGCCATCTGTGTGCGGTGGTGTGTGCGGCGTGGCTAAAATGAAACTCGCCGTGTTTGTGTGACACCAGCGTCGGCAAACGTGGTGGCGGCTGGCATAGCGGAACAGTACGGGCGGCCAATCTCCTTCAACTATTTTTTCAAGGTGCGTCACCCCCGCGTGCAGTGTGTCTCATGCGCTTGGCCGCGGCCATTCACAACGCCGCGCACGCACGCAGATGGGCTTCCCGTGCATGATGGTCTCCACGCTGACCGCGACCGCCTACATGCTCGTGACGCACGTTCTCATCGGGTGGTATTAATCCACAATTCCGGACGTACGCACAAGAGCCAACAATTTTGTGACTACTGCAGTTGTAGCGTCAACAACGAAGTTTATGCAGCAAGAAGATCGTGCACCGGCTCATCCTGTACCTGGCCCTGTGCCAGTCGCGAATCGGTCGCACCGTCTCCGGCGGCACGCAGCTGCTGACCGCGCAGCGCCATCAGACGCACGCACTCGTAGATGTGGCGCAGCGCGAGATCCACGTAGCTCCACGTCTGCGAGTATTGCGTGTGGAAGGTCTTGTCGAGCTTGACGCCGGCGAGGGAATCGTGCGCCCCGCGGCCACCGCCGGCGTCAAGCCCGACAAGACGCACGATTCCCTCGCCGTTGCGCCACGCCCACTTGGGCGGCGAGGTGAGCAGAGGATCGGGCTCGACGCGCTCCCACTTGAATCCGGGTGCGAGCGCACCAACGGCGTCGAGACTGATGGCTTCGTCGATTGCGACGTTGGCTCGCAGCTGGTACGTCGTGGGGCTTTTCGATGCCGCGGCCTTGAACAACCGCTCGGTCTGATCGAGCGTGGCGCCGTTCTGCGCGTCGTGGAGCATCGGAAAGGCGCCGCCATCGCCAGCGCGCATCACGGAGAGGAAGGTCTCAAACACGTCGAGCAGCTCGATGTAGGTCACGCGGTTGAAGGGCGTGCGGCTCTCCTTGCGTCAGATGCCGACGGCGGTGGCGAGCCGGGATTGGGCGCTACTGAGGTGGAGCACGACCTCGTCTACGAGATCGAGCGACACAAACTCGGCGTCCTCGTCGCCGGTCTTGGAGTTGAACTTGACGGCGTTCAAGACCTTCTTCCTCCCGCCGGTGGGCTCCGGGATCGAGTAGGGGAAGTAGCATTGGACGCCAACTACCCCGCGCGATTGGATTCCAACCGCAAGGCCAACTTTGATCCGGCGCGGCAAGCGGTTCTACTTTGACGGCAAGTGCGAGCGGCCCGAATGGGGACGATGATGACGAAGGTGGCGATGACGAGAACACGATGGAAGAAGACACATCGCCGCTCGTGCTTGGAAACGCAGAAACATCCAAGAAGCTGCATCGGCTGATGGTGCACTCCGTCCGAGCGGCCGATCTGAAGTCGACAAAGCATGCGCGAAGTTCGGCCAAGCCGAGCGGAACGGCGTGTCGGCCGCCCAAATTATCCAACAGCGGCAACCGCATCGTGTTCAACGTCGGCACCCACCTCAGTTTCTCCAACCACCGAGCGCCCAAGCCTTTGAATTGTAACCACATTTCCCGAAATAAATAATTGATTGGGTGGCGAAAAAGTTGTTTGCCGAACAAGAGTTTCCGAAGCGGGGGGGGGGGTGCGAGCCACTAGAGGGACTTCTCGACGGTGGCGGTGACGCTGTTCGGGTCCGAGGCCGCATACTCGTAACAGATCTTCTCCTGTTGGATGAGGACCTCGATGCTCTTGCCCACCTTCACGCTGTAACGCGCGTCCACGTGGACCGGGTCCATGGTGACGATGATCTTCTTGTCGGTGATGGCATCGTTGACGGCCTCGACGATCTCAGCACCCCATTGGAGATCTCTTCGCCAAGAGAGCGGCAGTAGTTTTGGTAGACGCACCCACCAAGGTACTTGCGCTCGTTCTTGGCGCGCTCGTTGGTGCCGGTGTCGCCGGTGAGCTTCTCGATGGTAGGCCAGTCGACGACTAGC